AAAGGTAGTCTGTAAGGCAGGGAGGGGTCGCCCTCTCTGTAAGAGGCGGCCCCGAACAGTCGGTTTGATTCTCGATGCTTGGCGTGAAATAAAGCTTTGCTTGACCTTCACTTTGTATCAGTCTCGCTCCTTTGATTACGGACCCATCACTATTACCTTGAAGAGACTGTGGAAGATTGGTTTACTTCTTCCTTTAACATCTGAAAGTATTCCTCACTGTGGTATCTGGCCTGGAATATTCTTTATAAGAAAAATTTTAAATTACAATTTCCTTAGTAGATCCCAAATTGTTTAGATTTTATATTTCTTCTTGAACTAATATGGGATAACATTTCAAAATTTTTGATGAAATTATTAGCCGTATCCTTTATATTCTCTCTGTGACAGTTGTAGATGTGCATTGATGGCCACTTTTGTGCTCCTCACACTGACAGACGGTACTTCTCTCTCTCTTTTTTTTTTCTTGATCAGTTTTGCTGGGGCATTCTCAATTTTATTTCTTTCAAAAGCTGAACCAAAATATTTGTTTTCTGTTTCATTAATTCATGCTCTACAATTTCTTTCGTTTCTTTCTTTTTTTTTTTTTTTTTAAAGAAACCGTGTATTGTCTGTCGACCATATTTCCATTTTCTGTTTAAGGGTCTGTGGAAGCACAGCTTAAAGCCACTCAGGAGTTAGTCATTCCTCTCCATTCAGGAGCCTGAGCAGTGGGAACCGCAGACCACCCTTCAGGAGGGATCCGCTGACAAGGCACCGAGGTCACCCGCATGCCTTCAGACCGGTCTGCGACCTCAGGTTGAGGAGTGGTAAATCCAGGAGGCGGAGCCGTCCGTTCAACTCTGAAATTCCTCTGTGGTCACAGCCTTTTCAGCAGCGGTCTGCTCTGCCCCTACAATCTCTTCAGAATCTCTGGAAGGAGAGGTCTGGGAGGACCTCCTCTAGCTGTACCCAGGACCTGGTGCCACGCATGCGCAGACCTCCCTGGGTGGCATCCTCCACTCAGACCCACTGAGTGAGCTCCCTTGCCTATGGGATGACGATGACCACGTACAGCAGATGGGTTGCACTACCATGGCTATGGTGGGCAGGTCAACACCAGACACGTCAGTGAGAGGCTGGTGGTCAGCCCTGGCAGCAGTAACCACCAGAAGTCTTTGTTCCTGGAACACTCCCTGGATCTGGTTAATGAAGGCTCTGGGAGCGAAGGGGCCAGCCATAGTGGGGGGTCCAAGGACGGCAGCAAACTTCCGCACAACTCACTGGCCAGTATTCTGAAGGTCATGACCCTGACATCAGTTGGGTTTCCATGGCAACAATGGCCTGAGCTGCCAACAGAGGCTATTCCTAGGTTCTCTCCAAATTTATGCTAAAGATGCCATCACTTTTCCTTTTGTAGATGTACTGTTTGGCTTAGAAGTCAAGTTGGTACCACCTGAGTGGGTTCCTGCTGCAAGGAATTTGAGAACACCCTCTTCCTTCATTTGCAGAACATCAAATATTCTGGACATTGTGAAAATTTCCCTTTAAGCTACGATGGGAACCCAGAACAGCACTGTATGAACCTCTCTCTACATTCTTTCTTTAGATTTACTTACTATTCTTTTTCTAACTTCTCGCAATGGATATTTAAATCAGTGAATTGTAGCCCTGTCTTTCCTAATATAGGCGCTGAATGCCATAAATTTCTCTTTAATCAGGGCTTTAGTTCTTTCCCACAATTTTTACTGTTATCCAGACAAAGATACCTTCCAAATTTCCACTATGCTTACTTCTTTTACCTATAGGTGATTTAAATTGTCTTGATTTCTAAACATTTGGGAATTTATTTTTTAGTGTGCGTGTGTTACTGATTTCTAGCTAATTTTATTGTTGTCTGAAAACATACGCTAAGTCTTCCTGTCCAATGTGGTAGCCACTAACCAGATGTGACTATTTAAATTAATTAGGATCAAATAAAATGTTGTTCATCAGTCACATTAGCCACATTTTAAGGGCTCAGTAGCCACATGTGGCTAGTGACTATTAGCTATGTGATTACTGTACTGAACACTACTGACAAGAACCTATTAAGTTCTATTGGACAGCACTACACTAAATTATTTCAGTCTGATGAAATTTGCTGAGGCTTGCTTTATAAACCAGCACATGGTCAGCTATGGTAAATGTTCTTTGTACACCCAAAAGGAGTTTTTTGCCAGTGTTGGTTGCACTGTTTTCTATATGTTAAGTAGATCATTTTATTAACATATCCTGTATGTCCACATGTACTATATTCTTAAACATTTTTTTTTCCTGCTTGTTTACTGAGAGAGCTATGGGAAAGTCTTCCACTAGGATTGTAGATTCATCTTTCTCATTGTAGTTTTGCTGTCAATTTTAGCTTTATATACTTTGAAGCAAAATTATTAGATGTATATACTTTGGAATATTTGTATTTTCTTGGTAAACTGACTCTTTCATTCATAAAAATGTCCCCTTTTATCTATAGTAAGCCTTTGGGGTTTTTTTTGTTTGTTTGTTTGTTTGTTTTGTTTTTTTTTGCAAGTAGACAAGTAACTGTTTTTATTGAATACAGAAGATCCTTGAAAACTGCAATTCCTTTCATTCCCAAAGTGCTGGAGCCAAGCACGCGTCCTACGTAACTCCCTCCCATTTCTTCTCTGGGATTTTCAAGCCTTTGGTTTTAAGGTCTACTTGTTGTCTAATATTGGTACAGCGATTAACAGCTTTCTTTTGGTTAGTGTTTTAATGGAGTATCTTTTTCCATACTTTAATTTTGAATTCCCTGGATCCTTGCTTTTATAGTGGGTCTTGATCGAGCAAGTACCCTATAAACTATAAGAAATGCAAGAATTTTCTTAAAGTTCATTATATGTAATATAATTACTGATGTAATACAATTACTGATCTACCATGTTTCTTCTCAACACTTGCTATTGTCAGACTTTTAAAAAATCATATTTATATATATGTAGTGTTACTTTTGTAACTCGTTTCTAAAACCTAGTGAACAAGTGGATTTAGAAAACTGGGGAAAGTGGAGAGTGCAGAATGGCTGTACGGCAAGGTGCTTAGCAGTGCAATTCGCCAGGATAGGGACTTCAGGAGGAAGATATCATGGGGGTGTGTAGTAAGCAGTTGGCTCTTAAAATTTATCCTCAGGAGAGAGGGGTAAACTTGATATAAATTTCATCATCCTATTTCTTCACTTTTTAAATTCCTCAAAGAATAAATGCTAGTTAATTATACCTTTTCCTACTCCCTTCTCAACTTACTGTCATGTCAATGCCTTTTAGCTCTTCTGCTTATGACCCTCACGCTTTTATTTTCAGACTTCAAAAGTTTTTCTTTCTGCTCCTTCCCCATTTAATTTTACTCTTCTGAAGGCAGTAAGATGATCATGCTATTCCTTGGTTCAAAGACCTCAATGGCTTTCCATTACCTTGAGAACAAATACAGAAATATGAAACTCAATCCTATCATAACTAGTACTCTTCCATTTTACGTAATACTAAATGCCAGAAAGTTGAAGTGCCTGCTCGTTTAGCATCATACTCCTTAACAGTCTTTTCTCATACTTCACTCTGATTTCCACCTTATTCTTACCCTCTTAAGTACATGTTTTAGTCATCATTTGCAAAAACACTTGAGTGTTTTTTGGAGAGGAACCCTTTCTCTCCCCTTGAGTAGTACTCAGTAGTGCCTGACACTGAATGTGTATTGAATGAATTAATGACTAAGCACATACTCCACATTTCTTTCACTTTCTTGCTTCTGTGACTTTGTTGACTACTCCCTTCTTGCCTCTAATCCCATCCTTCAAAACTCAAATCTCAGGAGCTCCCCAAACTTTTTCTTTCCAATCAGAATTGAACCCTACTTCCTCTTATAAGCATCTTGTCTACCTCTATGATTGTACGGAACCATGTGTTTTCTTTATACATCAGACTTTATCACATAAGCTTTCTATATTCTGTGTATACCACAAAACCTAAAAAAAAAAAATGCCTTGCACATTGTAGATAACAATAACTATTAAAGTGATATAGTAACTGGATGATTATAGGGAATATTCAGTGTATAGCAGTGGAATCTTAACAAATGGTTAATACTAGAAAAACAATTTTAAATTTTTATTTTTAAATGTTTCTATTTTTCAGTTGAAAACTTTGCATATAGTAGCCTATTACCATACATATATCAGAAATCAACAAACCAAAGTCTGATAAATGTTGCCACTTGAAAAAAATCAGTCTTTATTTTTAGACAGAATATGGTATACAAATTAGTCATGTGGGCACTACTTCAGCTCTCATTTTTGTTTATCTATAAATGACATAGTGCTAGACTCTGACATATGGAATTTAAAAAATTGTCTCACATATTTAAGAAACTGTGATTAAATCGTAATATGGAAGAAGTGATTTCAAACCACTGGTCTATGGGCTGCATTACTGAAAGCAAAATAATTCCATATTCTCTGTCCCTATTGCAGGAACCTGAAAATTCCTACTCTTTAGGAAAACCAAAACTAGGGCAAAGAAAAATATTTTTTTTTTTTCTGAGAAAATAGGGCACTGGAATTATGTAGTTAATAAGTTTAATACCAGAATAGTATAGCCATGTTCACACACAGGGAATTTAATGAGATTAAGTAATGTGAGCATAAGGTAGGACTCTCTGTTGTCAGGTGGTAAGTGGCATGCCGATTATGAGTGAATGCCAATTAAGATATAGAAGGGATTTAAGTTTTCCCCACATTCTCTAATGTAACTTCTCTGATATGTAATAATTAGGGCTCACTAAAGGTTTGAGATAATTACACTAATACATTCCCTTCTGAGCTGACTGCACACCCCATCACACGGATCTTTACAGTATCTGGTAAGGTTCTGCATTAATATTGTTATTCATTTCTTATAATGATAAGATTCTCCCCTTGTAGATTATATTTGAATAAAAGGCCAGAGGCTTGTTTTGTTTTTTCATTATGACAGACAGAAATTTCTTTCCATTGTTGCTGACATTCAGTAATATTTATTCATATTGAAGGTTTTCTCAATTACTCATGGAACTCAGAATCTTTAAGTTTCGTAATGTCTGAATTCTCAGTTAAACTTTCATTGTAGAACTTAAGTGTTTTCTGTCCAGTGTGTTTCCTTTTAATGTAGCACAAGAGTTGAGCACTGATTAAAACTGTTTTCATAATCAATAGCATTCCTAAGATTTTTTTCTGGTATAGTGTCCCTGGTATGAAATAAAGTCTGCGAATACTCTAAAGGTTTTCCCACATTTATCACACTTAGCCTGTCTTCCTCAGAATGGACTGTCTCATGATTATTAAGCTCAGAGAGCTGGCTAAAACTTCTGCTGCACTGGACACACGTGTGGGGTCTCTCCCCAGTGTGGATTCCCTGGTGTTCAGTAAGCTCAGAGCATGTGCCGAAGGCTTTCCCACATGCATCACATTTACATGGCTTTTCCCCTGCGTGGATTCTTTGATGGTTAATGAGATCAGAGCGCCGACTAAAGCTTTTGCCACACTGATCGCATGAATATGGTTTTTCTCCAGTGTGGATCCTCTGATGTAGGATAAGAGCTGAGCACTGACTAAAAGCCTTTCCACACTCAGGACACTGATAGGGTTTTTCCCCAGTGTGGATTCTCTGGTGTTTGATCAGGTCTGAGTTCTGACTGAAACTTTTGCTGCACTGTGTGCATGGGTATGGTTTTTCTCCAGTGTGAATTCTCTGATGAAGAATAAGGTCAGAACTCTGGCTGAAGGCTTTCTCACAATGATCACAATGATAGGGCTTTTCCCCAGAGTGCACTCTCTGATGTTTAGTGAGGTCTGAGCTTTGACTGAAACTTTTATTGCACTGGTTACAAGCATATGGCTTCTCTCCAGTGTGTATTCTTTGATGTTTAACGAGGTCTGAATGACGACTAAAACTTTTAGTACAATCACTGCATGGATAGGGTTTCTCTCCAGTGTGGATTCTCTGATGGAGAATAAGATTCGAGCTCTGACTAAAGGTTTTCCCACACTCATCACATTCATAGGGCTTCTCCCCTGTATGAATTCTATGATGTTTAACAAGGTCTGATCTTCGACTAAACATTTTGCTGCACTGGCTACATGGGTAAGGTTTCTCTCCAGTGTGAATTCTCTGATGATTCATGAGATCTGAAAGTCTACTGAAGGTTTTGCTGCACTGATTACATGGATAGGGTTTCTCTCCAGTGTGAATTCTCTGATGCAGAATAAGGACTGAGCTCTGATTAAAAGCTTTACCACATTCATTACATTTATAGGGTTTCTCTCCAGTGTGGATCCTTCGATGTTTAATAAGATCTGAGTTCTGACTGAAACTTTTGTTACACTGATTACATGGATATGGTTTCTCCCCAGTGTGAATTCTCTGATGCAGAATAAGATCTGAGCTCTGACTGAAGGCTTTTCCACACACATCACATTTATATGGTTTCTCCCCAGTGTGGATTCTTTGATGTTTTATAACATCAGAACTCTGACTAAAATGTTTGTTACACTGGTTACATGTATAAGGCTTCTCTCCAGTATGGATTCTTTGATGCTTAACCAAATCTGAGCGCTGGCTAAAACTTTTACTACAGTGACTGCACTGATAGGGTTTTTCTCCTGTATGGATTCTCTGATGGATGATGAGATCAGAACTCTGACTGAAGGCTTTCCCACATTCATCACATTTATAAGGTTTTTCACCAGTGTGGACTCTTTGATGTTTAATAAGGTCTGAGCTCCGACTGAAACTTTTAATGCACCAAGTACAAGGATAGGGTTTCTCTCCAGTATGAATTCTCTGATGCAGAACCAGAGCTGAGCTCACACTAAAAGCCTTTCCACACTTATCACATTCATAGGGTTTCTCCCAATGGGTTCTTCGATGCCTAATAAGGCCTGTACTCCAAGCAAAACTTTGCCCACATTCATCACAGTTATGCTGTCTTCTTTTAAAGAAATTTTGATCCTTCTCATTTAATTTATCCCCAAATTCACAAAATCCTCTGCATTCAGAATCCTGGAGAACATCATCTCTGGGGTTGCCAGACTCTCCAGGCAATGGTTCAATTTTTGTTGTAATTTCCTCCTCTGAAGTCACCTCTCCAATCTTGGTCTTAGTCTCACCACCTAGAACAATAAAAAATCCAAATGGAATGTATTCTTCATACTGTATATCACAATATGAGAGTGCTCTAAAACACTGAAAATTATCCTCTGAAAGAGCAATTAGGAAGAATCAATAAGTAATGGTTCATAATAACCATGTATTGAAACGGTTTACCAGATATGTCCTGTATATGTTTGTCACAGGAGATCTGGGAATACGGAAACGTAGTCACAGTAATTATGAAAGTTTTGACTAAATTAAAACTAATACACAAGCAACTTATTAACATAAGTAAGGTAAGCAATATGAAAGAGTACTTGAGGGATAGGGGAGAAGGAGAGAGAGAAGGCGGCAGTGGCAGCCTGGCTGTCACTGGGAAGACCACCAACCAGCCTGATCAGAGGCTACTATTGGGGGTTAAGGCAACCTCTGTTCAGTATTACTAGCCAAAGCAACAAGACATGAAAAATAAATGAGAGATACAAACAAGAAAAAAGTCAAACTGTCTTCACTTGTAGACTATACAGTCATGTATACAGAAAATTCCAAAGTATCTCAAAAAAGTTATTAGAGGGGCACCTGGGTGGCTCAGTGAGTTAAAGCCTCTGCCTTCGGCTTGGGTCATGATCCCAGAGTCCTGGGATCGAGCCCCACATGGGGCTCTCTGCTCAGCGGGGGGCCTGCTTTCCCCTCTCTCTCTGCCTGCCTCTGCCTACCTGTGATCTCTGTGTGTCAAATAAATAAATAAATAAAATCTTAAAAAAAAAAGTTATTAGAACTTGTACATGAGTTTATTAGAAGAACATACAAAACCCAACTGTATTTTAGTGTACTACCCATGAAAAATTAGAGCCTAAAATTAAAAACATTTTTAATTACACCAAAAATAAAATATTTAAAAACAATTCAACAAAATACGTGTATATGTTTATAATGAACACTACAAAACACTGCTAAGAAAAGTTAAAGAAGACATAATAAACAGAAATATATGTCATCACTTATGGAGAGGAAGATTTAATATTGTTAAGATGGTGGATTTCTTCCCAAACTTTGCTATAGGTTCAATGCAACTCCAATCAAAACCTCAGCAGGATTTTTTCATAGAAATTGACAAACTGATTCTAAACTTTATGTAGAAAGGCAAAGAAGAGTCTAAACAATTTTGGAAAAGAACAAAATTAAAGAAGTTACACTACCAGATTTCAAGCTTTATTATAAGGCTACAGTAATCAAAGCAGTATGGGACTGCATAAAGACAAGCATATCCACTAATGGAAAAAGAATGAGTCCATAAATAGATCCAAACATTTATGTAAAACTGATTGTCAACAAAGTTGCTAAGAAAATCAATGGTGAAAGGACAGTCTTTTTTCAACAAAAGATATTGTTATATCTTTTCAGCTGTAACAGTAACACAAATTAACCCTATTTCCTTATGCTATATGCAAAAATTAACTAGAAATGTAATATAAACATAAACATAAAAACTAAAACTATAACACTTCTAGAAGAAAGCAAAGCACAGATGACATAAATTAAGGCACAGAACTGTGAGAAAATAAATTGCAGTTTAACCACCCAGTTTGTGATACTTTGTTATGGGAGCCCTAGCAGACAAATAAAGCATGTTTTTGAACTGTACACATTTATGGAATTATATCACATATATTCTATGATTTTTTTTTTTTTTTTTTTTTGCTCAACATTATGTTTGGAAAATTCATCCATATTCAGTCGTGTAACTGTAGTCTATTGATGTTCATTACCATAGTGTGACCTATACCACAATTTATTTAGCCATTCTCCTTCAAAGGACAATAATATTTTGTTATTTCAAACAATGCTCATATGAATCTGCTGGTACATTTATCTTTACGCACATATTCAAGTGTAACTCCAGGTTACATAAACTTAGGACCAGAACTGCTGGGTCTTATTGTTGAGTTTGAGTTCACACTGTTCTATATGCTAACCAATATTAAGTCTATCCTCTTCTTAACCCACTGCAATCAGGCTTTTATCTCCTTAACTCCATCAAAACTGCACTTATCAGAATCCCTAATAAGCTCTATCTTAACAAATCTAATGGTCAATTCTCAATCTTCTTCTGTATTTATCTGACATAATTGATTACTCTCTTCTTAAAACATTTTTCTAACTTACCTTTCCCCTACTCTCCATAAAACAGTATACTTTAAATTTTTTATTTATTCATTTGTCAGAGAGAGAGAAAGATAGCAAGAGGGCACACAAGCAGGGGGAGTGGCAGGGAGAGGGAGAAGCAGGCTCCCGGCTGAGCAAGGAGCCTGATGCAGGACTCGATCCCGGGACCCTGGAATCATGACCTGAGCCAAAAGGCAGATGCTTAACTGACTGAGCCACCCAGGCATCTCCACAGTAATCTTTATATGTTATTATCATGCACAAAATGTTCCAGTGGTTTCCTATTACACTGGGAATAAATTCCGTGTCCTTACTATGGCTCAGAAGGTTCCATCCCATCCTTTCTCTCTCTGCTCTCATTTCATTCCCGTTTCCTGTCTACCCCATACTGACACTGTTCCTGCTACATTAAAGGGCCTCTGGCATTTGCTGGTCCCTGTGCCTAAAACACTCTTCTCTCAGATAGCCATGTGGCTTGTTTTCTCACTTCCCTTATATCTCTAACCAACTGTTACCACCTCAGAAAGACACAATACTTGGAGAGCTCTGAATTTTGGAGACAACAGATATCACAGTCGAATGTGCTGAAACGACCAATATTAGTACCCTGACTCAAAATTTAAAAGAAGGCTTTGCAGGGTCCAGGTTGCAATTTTAGCTGTCCTGTCACATGACTTTATTAACCAGGATAACCAATGGTAAGAAATGTCTGCAGTAGTCAGGGATGCTGTATTAAGGCTTCTGCAAGCCTCCAGAAGAGAATGACACCGGAGTAAGGCCATACTCTCTTCTGCCAACAATTTTCTAAGTGAAAAACAGATGCTGGCTTGCTCTTGGGCACTAATAAGACCTAATGCTTCACCACAGAACACCAAATGACTATTACAAGCTGATCATTGTGAGCTACCTAGTTGACCCACCAAATCCTAAAACTAGACATACAAACCAGCGTTCCATTATAAAAGCAAGTATGGAAGACAAATAAATTCCATGTGCTAGTGATGTGGGTTTCCCTATTGCTCCACTAATCCCCTCCTTATTAGCCAATATTCATGGCCTAATGGGAATTCCCTCTTATCAGTTAACAGAGGAGGAAAATGTACAGAACTGAGTTATAGATGGGTCTGCTCAGTGTGTGGACACTAGCAGAAAACGAATCTTTCACCTACACCTTGACTCTGAAGTGACCTGAAACATACTGGTAAAGGCAAATCCTCCCATTAGACAGAATTTCAGGTATACACCTGGCTGTCCACTTTCATGGAAGGCAACAGAGCCTAAGATACACATCTGTACTGATTCATGGATAATGACTAATGGGTTATTGGTTGGTTAGGTAGCTGAAAGAACAAGCCTGGAAGATCAGAAATAAGGATTATAGAAGAAAATCATAACAGACCTCCTACAATGGGCAAAGAATGAATGTATTTGTGTCCTGTGTGAATACTCACCAAAGAGCATCCACTTGGAAGAAGCCTCTCAATCAGACGGACGTGGTGATCCACGTTGTGAATGTCAGTCAGCCTTTTTACTAATGTTTACCCAATGGATTCATGTACAAAGTGGTCATGGAAGCTATGTGTGGGCTCAACAATATGGGTGTCTATTACAAGGCTGATATGCCTATTATCACAGCTATATAGCCATGCGACCAACTGCTGGGACCAACCCTGAGCCCCTAATATGGTACAATTCTCCGGAGAGGAATGAGCCCACAACTAGGGGGCAGATTCATCAGACTTGGCTCCTTCTATCATGAAGAGGGCAAAAATTTGTTTTCAAAGGACTAAATACATAGTCCAAATACAAATAAATGTGCACTGACCTAAGAGAATGCTTTATTTATTACCATGGTGATTCTATACAGTAATACCTCCAGAGGAGTAGTTTTACAGGGAAGGAAGTATAGCAATAAGCTCACACACATGCAATTCACGGGTCTTACCACACGTCCCATCATCCAGAAGTAAGTGGATTCCGATAATAGTGGAATGATTTACTGAAGGCTCAGTTACAGTACCAGGCTAGGCAACAACACCCTAAGTTTGGGGTGCTGTCCTACAGGATGCAATATGTGCCTTAAACCAGAGGAGAATAAACGGTGTTGTCTTATCTATGGCCAGAGTACCTACGCATAGGAGCCAAGGGTAGAGGAGTAGTAAAATGTCTCCTTTCACTATATAACTAATAATCCATTCATATCATGGATTGTATTATATTTATATTCTTAAAGATTCGAGAGAGCACGTGAGCGTGCATGCACACGTGGGTGGGGGCAGACAGAGAGGGAAATCTCAAGCAGACTCCCCACTGAGCTGGGAACCTGATGTGAGGCTTAACCCCATGACCCTGAGATCACAACCTGAACTAAAATTAAGAGACGGACAATCAACTGACTGAGCCACCAGGTGCCCCCATATTATTTTTAATTCCTATCCGCATAATCTTGGGCTTGGTGAGTTTGGGGTTCAGGTTCTCAAAGAAGAAATATGTCTACCATGGAACAAAGTCATGATTTTGTTAAATCTGAAGCTGAGACTGTCTCCTGGCCATTTGGGTTCCTCATGCTGCTGAACCAACTGGCAAGAGAAAGCGTTGCTCTGCTGGCTGGGATGACTGATACCAATTGATACTGGGGGTTGGCTGCTGTTACATAACAAGGGCAAGGAAAAA